TACACACACATCCTTGTTTAACATATATGTACTTATTACAAAAAAATCAAAGACTTAGTGATTTGAAAGTAAAATCCTGTTACATTATTATGAAAAGGTTTCTCTTAGCTCAACATTATGCTGTGTTGGCTTTATGAGTAGAGCACAACTTGAAGTATTACTATAACATAACATACAGGTCCTAGTGTTTATTACATTCAGTTACATCTAAAGATTATTAATCACCTGTTTAGGTGAAATGATGCTATTTCACCATTGTGTCTGTCAGCACCTGCATAAGGTGGCCCATCAACAATAAAATCTCTCTTGAACCTGAAATAAAAAAAAATCACTTCAAAAATACAATTTTAACATAGGTAATAGAAATGAGAATTTTGTATTCAAAGTTTAATACAGTGAAACATTAGCTTATGAAATAATAGAATGTTACATAAGCAATCAATTCTTGGCTAATGATGTTACACGAAAAAATTTTTTACACAATCAAACTTGATTCTGAAATCCCATAAAACATCTTGGTAAAATACATAACATATTAAGTGAAACATGCCAGAAGTTTTCATGACTTAATTAATTAAAACCCCAATATAACTTTTAATGTGATGAATTCCAAGAGCACACAACTTCTGTACATGTGAAAAAATAAGTTTTCATAAATTACATATCCAATGTTTGCATTTAAATAAAAGCTTACTTTAATGTTAATACACATCAGTTATTGAAGATTATTCACCCTATGTTAAGTAAATACATACAACTGACAATACAATTAAGATTATGAATATCAAACACATATTTTTATCTAAATCTAGAGTAAATCCAACATAAATATTCAATATGAATTTAAATAATTACCTCATTGGCTTAAAGATAACCTTTTGTCCACCTTCTAAGTCAAATACCATTTTTAGTTGAGTGCCTTTGGAAGTTACATCAGCAAACAGTATCTTTTTAAATGTCATTGCAGCCAAAACAGTTCCTATCTGCGGTGCTTCCTCTGGATGTATACTTCGTGGAGTTACCCAATTAGCAGCAATGTGCCATGGAGAGTTGGTCATCTCTATTTGAGAATTCAAATCATTGACCAGTCTTTTTAACACTTGAATTCGAGTTTTGATTTGACTGTTAGAAATTCTTGTGGTATTGAGTTGACGCAATTTGGCACTTACTTTTAGACCTATTAAAGTTACTATTCGAGGCAGAGAAGCATTATATTTGAATTTGACACTATGCAAGTCATTAGTATTGCTATTACTAACTTCACGTGCTAGATTCAAGCTCTGTTGTTTAATAATTGCTTCTCTATTTCCTCTGCTAATCTGTATTTGTTGCCTGGCTATTGTATTTTCTTCTGATAGCTGAAAACAAAGCAAATAGAATGATGTTTAGATATCTAAAGTAATCTACTGTAAACTAAACTACTGATCTTTATATTTCATGTACCATTTACATAAGCAGTAACTTCTTCTTCAGCATTCTTTGAAGAGGTCACTGCTTATGTAGATGAAAGTAAAGGTTTGAATTTGGTGAATATGAATTTCAAGAAAGCAATTAACAAGATTCCAAATTAAAGGCTAATATAAAAAAATATTTTTATAGGTGTGTTGGATAAGCTGGCTCACTGGATAGAAATGTATCTGAATAGATAAAAGTAGAGGGTTATTATTAATGGAATTAAATCAAATTGGACATGTGTTACAAGTTGGGTAGCTCAGGGCTCAGTGTTAGGACATTTGCTCTTTTTGATTTACGTCAATGACATAGTTGAAAGAATGGTCAATTAATTACTTAAATTTGCTGATGATATTAAGGTCTTGGATGTTGCTAGCAGCGAGGATGATACTGCCTTACAAGAGGATTCAGATCATTTGGCGAGTTGGATAAATAAATGGCAGATTGCTTTTAATTATAATAAATGCATGTAGGTTACCATAATTTGAATTATGAATATAATTTTGATAGTAATAACCTTAAAACAGTTTCATGGAAGAAAAATATCTTTGTGTTCTGGTTAATTAGTTTCTTAAGCTATTCATGCAGTGTGCTGTTGCTAATGGTAGGGCAAATAGGATTTTAGGCCTTATCTACAGAAATACTGTATATAAGTCTAAAAGAGGTTATAATTTCATTGTGTAGGTTACTGGTTAGGCCACATTTGGGGTATTGTATTTAGTCTTGAAATCTTTATCCGACAAAGAACACTGAATTGTTGAAAATGGTTTAGAGGAGGAATACTAGGATGATACCCTAGATAAAAAAAACAGTTTCATAGATCTTAACCTGTCCTCTTATGACAACTTTTCCCTTGAAAAAAGAAAAGTTAAAGGTGATCTGATTAAGGTATTTGAGATTATTAAGAGAATTTAGAGTGTCAACACATCATTTTTTTTTACTTAATGGTGAGAATGGTAAAATTATAGGATGCAAATATGAATTTTAGCATGGTAGAAGTCATCTTCAGCTACGATGTTTTATTTTTCTAACAGGGTAATTGGAATAGGTTACCTTCAGATGTGGTTGAAGCAATAAATTCAAGGGAGAATGAGGTAAGGTTTGATAGATATTTAAATGATTAGGGTTGGCTTTGAGTTTGTTTGATTTTTAAATAGTGTAGTGAAGAGTCAGCCTACCAATAGATCCCTTGTTGGCCATAAATGTTAAACTATTTAATTCATAATACCATGACAATGCATTCTGTTTTGATTGGTTATTAGTGCTTTCATCCTCTATATCATTTAATATACAATATATGGTGTACAACTCGCACACACACATATACACAAGTATTAAATTACCTAAAAAAACTACAGTAGAACCTCAACATTAAGGGTACCCTTCCAACTGCATCCAAATGCCCTCTATAGCAAAGTGCCTATAATATAAAAAATGAGCCACACAAAGCTGGATTCCATATTGACCATACTAAATCTCTAAACTAGAAGCCCTCCCCCCCAATTTTGTTTGGTGTATGCATTTAAAACCATTTTTGTTACATGTAAGTAAGCAGTGTTTTTGTGTATACTATAAAAACATTAAATAATACGATACTCTCGAGAGCAACAAAGCACGTGCACAGGAATAAGCCGACTTGACTCCTGCCCAGAGAACTCGATGTGGAATTTATCAGCTTATATATTCTAGAGTGTTTACGAGAATTCCCCAAAGTAATAAGATTGCACTTTGAATCTGTGAAAATGATTATTACAGAATATGGTTCGGAGGTGATACAATAAATATTGCAAGTGTTTGAATACTGGTCATCCTTCTGGGATGTTTGGAATTTAGCGGTATACCATACAAATAAAGTTTTGCACAAAGTTATAAAATCCTATTTCTGTTTCAGCAGACTTATTCATCAACCAATAAATACTCATTATTCACAAATGCTTAAATTTTAGTTATTTTTATTAAAACAAAAGAATAATAAATAAAAAATACTTCAAAAAACAAAGAATTTGAGTATTTACAGTGTTATGAGTAATAGTAAAGTTAATTATAATACTTTGAAAATAACTCTCTAAAAGGTCACGAAATGCACAATTTAACCAGCCTGCAGCAAAAGGGTTAACTGCCCTCTTTATCAAGAACGAGACTAAGGACACTGCCCTTAGTCCGGAATATCAAGGTGCCCATTATTGCAAGATTTATTTTGGCTACAAATAGTACAAAAAAAGAGAAAGGTGCTCATTGTTTCAAGGTGCCTGTTAATCGAGGTTCTACTGTACTTTATAAAGTTTTACTTTACAAAATGAGATGTATAAGAAAAATAAAATTAATAAAATAAAAATTAAACATTATAATGACAATATGCTTTGTTTTTTGTTATGATTAGGTTAATGATGATGATGTAGTTACAACACAGAGTCAGCAGTAAACAATGTGTAGATCCTGAAGTTATATGTATTAAAGCTTTTGAATCAAATTTCTAAAAAATTTGTATTTTGCAATGTAATGAATTTGTTGTTATGTATTTATTTTAATATCAACGTTTGTTCAGATGACGTTTATATTTTAAGATATGAATAGCTTTACTGCTAAATGTGTATTGCGAAACTCCCACCTATTCTCCAAAGTAGTAGAAGATTCTCAAGAGTAAGAATCAACAATATATGTATATATGTAAATGCTTACATACATTGTAATGTATTGTTACGTAAAACTGAAATTTCTCGAAAACCTCCACACGGCTATAAATATAACCAACGTGCCGCGCCAAGAGAGAGTATTGATTATTAGTTTGCTATATTCAGCGTGCTATAAACAAGGAAGCTATAACTATGATTGTTATAATGCTTATCAATCAGAAAACTTCAGATATTTGACCAGGAGTATTTACAAAATTTGGACATTACAACTCATTTAACTTCAGTGGATTCACATCGTACATTAATACTTTTACGAAAACATTACCTAACGTCATCGGTGGAAACTAAATCTCTAATAGGCGTGTGATAAGCAAGAACTACAGGGCTAGCTAGCTCCCCACTAAGTGAATTGTACCTATATCAATTCATAATCAACTTGCTCATCGTGAACCCTCGATAAGATATCAAGGAAGTTCCAAACTAGAAAGAAGACTTTATATCGCTTGTAAATTTGAGAAACTTTTCTTTATAAATCATTGTTTGTAGTAACTATTTGTAATAATTGTTATTGTAAATTATATTGTTGTTTAAATATTAAAACATATTTGTATTAAAAAAGAAAACTGTGTATATC